TTATCAAATCTTTTTCCATATTATTAACTGTTGCCGATTCATAATCATTTTCTTTTTGTATATCCCATACATTTTTTGAGATTTTAGATAATTCATTAAAATCTGCTTCAGGTGTATTACTTATTTCTATTGGTTTAGACCTCTTTCCAGAAGAAAACAACTTTCCAGCTTTGACAATAACTGATTTCCGCTTAGGAGTGGTAAACATTTCCTCATTGATATTAGTTTCTTTAATAGAAACGGTATTCTTGTTATAATCAATTTCTTCCGTTGTATTAGTGCAATCATCTTCAATTTGAATAGGAATACTACTGATTTCAAGAATATTTTAATTCAAACCAATGTCCAAATAATCTGCAATGACATTGGATGTATAATTGTTTTCTTTTTTAGGAGAATTTTCGGTAAACAATTTTCTCTTTACACACACTAAAGTACTCTCATTTAGTTCATTTTCTTGATCTAACATAAAAATTTATCTTTGAGATAATTCTTTAGGACTAACAGATATTTTATTTAGTCCAAAACCCTTTTGACAACGTTGAAATACTCTATGTTGATTTTTACGATTACATTTCATTTTTAATAATTTACAAACTGAATTAACAACCTCTGTCTTATAAGTACAAAAATCATTTTTTAAATAACCATTGTCTTGAAGCATTTTATGGAAGTGTAAATCATCCTCTATATTACTATTTAACAATTTCCTCAGAGCTGAATTGGGATTATTTAATGCCATAACTATATTCTTTTTAGTTTTTTTGCAATTACCTTTCTTGAATATCACATTACAAATGTCACTAATCGCGTCATGAGATACACCTATCCTGCCAAATTCCAATGTTGGATATTTTTGTTGAATGAAGTGCACTATTTCTTCAACTTTTTTTGACACACTCATTTTATAATTTTTAAGAACCTTACTCAACTACTTATCAACAGTTAAATGTATTACTTATATTACTATTATAGTAGGAGCCTTCCTCGACTACTATCAATAGTAAATCAAATCCTTAAATTATAACTACAATACTATTATAGTAGGAGCCTTCCTCGNTATAGTAGGAGCCTTCCTCGACTACTATCAATAGTAAATCAAATCCTTAAATTATAACTACAATACTATTATAGTAGGAGCCTTCCTCGACTACTTTCAATAGTAAATAAAATCCTTAAATTATAACTATACTAATATTATTCTACTACTTAACTATCTATTGTACTATTATTTTTTTTTCCTTATATTATAACTATACTACTATTGTAGGAGAAACTTTCCTTGTTTATAATCAGAGGTGAAACAATCCTTTGCAATTATAAATTGTTTAACCTGTTAAATAATAAAAGCATAGGCGTGCGCAGGCCTCTTTTTCAGGATATGCAGAAGGCTGACAATAGCTGCGTTTAGACCAAGAAGATTAAGGA